TATTCAAACCATGTATGAAAAATTCCAGAGAACAAAAGAGAACAATCTCGTCCACGATTCCCAGAATGCGTCCGCGATTGAGGTCGTGTACAAAACCTATGGGAGTCTTCCTAAAAAGTTAAGAGTACAAACAAAAGAGGGACAATAGGACGTCCACGATCGACGGTGTGAACGCGTTTGCGTGCACAAGAACGTGTATGCTTGTACTCCTTCAATGTGAAAAAAAGAGAGACAGATGACACGTGGCCACGATCAGGCGCGTTATTCTGTGAAGTCACTGGGTTTGAGCATATTCAGTCGAACATTTGAGGGTGGCAAGAACTCCACGTCACCAGTTTGGCCCCCCCCCCTGTCCCCCTGCCCTTCCCGCCCCTTGTTTATTGAAAAAAAGGGAGAAAGACAAAAAGAGAAAATGAAAAAAGAAGACGTGAGGGGGAAGTCAATAATAAATAGGCATGATGTTTGACCCTTGAGAACAATGTCGGAAATCTGCCCAGGTGTCAGAGGCCGCCTAAGTCCACAGCAGAATCCAGCCCTGCAGGGGCAGTAACTTAGACTGGTAAAAACTCCACTTTGACCGCTGTTTGCGACGTTCTCCCACTGCACATTTTTAAGTTCTTTCTTTTCGATCCATGGGTCCTTCCCCTTCCACCTGTACCTGTCTTTCAGTCGTCAGTCAGACGTCAGTCAGACGTCAGTCAGACGTCAGTCAGGCGTCCTCCTCTCTTCATCCTGTGGCCTTCTCCAGTTCCTCCCTGTTTCATCATGTCTTCATTGGATAATCTTGAGGATTGTTAACAAACACGTACGCACACCAATTAACCCCCTTGGCAAAGAAGCCATCCTTCAAGTACATGTACGGTACATGTACGGTACATGTACGGTACATGTACGGTACATGTACGGTACATGTACGGTACATGTACGGTACATGTACGGTACATGTACGGTACATGTACGGTACATGTACGGTACATGTACGGTACATGTACGGTACATGTACGGTACATGTTGACATGTTTGCATCAGACCTGATTACACCATTTTTAATTTTTTTGTTTTTCTCGTGCATGTACGATATATATATACATGTACATGCACCTGTGCAAATTTAATGAGTTCCGTAGCACATAATTGAAGGCGTACGTTCAGACTTTATGTTCATAACATTGCATGCATGACGTCATCCTGCGGGAGGGTGTCTTTTGCCTTTGAAAGAGAAAGAGACACAACCCTTGTCTCGTCATGTCTTCATTGGATTATCTCGACAAGTGCTCGCAAATCCCCCTTGGCAAAGAAGCCATACCCTGTTGACGTGTTTCATCAGACCTGATTACTCCGTTTTTTTTCCCCCACGTGTTTTTTTCTCATGTTAAATGTAAGTTATGGACAGGTGTAAAAATGTCATGAGTTCCGTAGCACATAATTGAAGGCGTACAATCAGTTATGTTCATTACATTGAATGACGTCATTCTGGGGGCGGGGAGGAAAAGGGTTCATGACATGACGTTTACACTGGAACTTCTTTCGTGCAAATATCAGTTCCTCAAATATGTATGAGAGCTATGAGACATCCCTTTTTGGTAAATATTTGCGAAAAGTCCACTTTTTTAAACATTTGTAAAATATTCTATGCTTTTTTCTGACAACTGAGGCCGCTGTTTCTCTGATGTCACACCCTCTTCAGATTAGCGGGTTTCTGTTCATATTGTGAACCCAGGTTTTTGGAAACCGAAAAACATTTGTGGATAAGTTTTGTTCTTAGACTTGTCTTATTTTCATGTACTGATTCAAGAATGTCACCAAAGCCCAACAAATTACCATGTTTAAGCCCCAAAATTCTGGAAACTTGTGATCCCGGGGGAGCTGTAACACTAAAGTTTCTGACTATGACATCACAGTCTAGCTCATGAATATGGAAATTGGCATGAGCAGCAAAACTAAAGAGACATCAAAACACCTTTGAAAATGGCAATTTGATGATTGGAATTAAAGATAAAAGTATCTATAGGTACCTTAAAAACTCCATTACATGGGCCCTTTAAGAAACAATTTAAGGACACAATACTGGCTACAAAAAGTGGGACATGAGAGATCCAAATCAAGATATGAAGCAAAATCCAAAGCAAGATGAAAGCTGCATGTTGTTAATTTTCAATTAAACTGTTGGAAGAAGCATCCCTTTACAACATTGAAAAGATACTTGGCCAAACAATATTCACTGCAAGGCAAAGTATAATGGTAGTTGTTGACAGCTAACGTAAGTTACATAATGTCCACTTTCCACTTATGCATTTTTTTGCAAGCACTGGTAGAAGAACGAAAAAGTTGAAGAAGTTCCCTGTTTTATCAGTTACTTTTAACATGCTCATCACCAGTTGGCAGCCTTGTGGTGACATGACAGTCATTTAAAGGGGCACTGGGTCCTGAAATCCCAGAAAATTTCATGTTTTGGATCGTTAACTTATCTTATTTCAAACATCTGGTTCAAAGGAAACCAACCTAATGTCTTACCGTTCCCGAGAAAAGACGGAAAAACCTTGGTTGTTTACATCGGACACGACGGAATACGCTTTTCCGGTCGTTTTCACTTTCAGTCAATGTATGTACGATATGTATATACACAGCACCGTGCTCGCGAACAGCGCGCGGTGACCAATCACCAACGCACAAAATATGGTTTCTTACACGTCCGCAAAGGCGAACACTTTACGGATGAAATCACAACTAGCATCAAAACAGCTCGAATTTTTGGGGCTGCAAAAGTGGACCCCGAAATTCGTTCACGCACGCATAATACAGGAATAACACCAAAAAACCCAGTTTTGAAAGGATAGTTGTGTGGATGTTTTATATCCTACTTTTAAATGTTCTTTCAGATTAATATCATTTCATTCAAAGCGCGTTTTGTAGCCCATATGGGCTGTTCTAGGACCTAGTGTCCCTTTAAAAGAAAGGTTTGTAACATGCAATGTACATCCAAGGGGTCTGAAAAAATCCCAGGGGCCAATTTCATAGAGCTGCTTAAGCGCAAAATTCGCTTAAGCACAAAAAAAGTCTTGCTCAATAAAATCAGGTTACCAGCCAAAACTTCATGCAATTGTTATGCTAAGTGAACAACAGCTAAATACCAGTCACAAGCAATGTACATCACATGGAGTTTTGGCCGGTAACCTGATTTTACTAAGCAATGTTCTTTCCTGCTTAAGCAAATTTGTTGCTTTATCAGCTCTATGAAATAATCAGACCGTGTTGCCACACTTTCAATTAGAATTGGCTAATGTGTAACACTTTCCTTCAAAAATAGAATTTGGAACTCCCCTACTGTACATGTACCGGTAGTATATTGCAATTGCACCAGGTTGCCTATAATATAGGCTAATCTTCATTCTCTTTCCCTTATTATGCAAATCTACATGTACATGTAATAAACGTGCACCGGTACATATATAAACAGATGTGCTGGTACCCAAAATTCTGTTGTTTATTAAAAATTATGCACGTCTATTTTACACAATGTGCATATGTTACTTTTGCATATATGGCGGGGAGGTTATAGAATAAACATTAGTATTGATTTTTGACCACAGGGACTTTCACACTATCCGAAAATCTCTCGTGTTGGACACGGATCCAACGACGAGATTTCAAGAACCCCTTTTACTCTAGCCAGAATCCAAGGTGGCTTTTGCACAGGTCCAGCGCTCTACATAGGCTCTGCACGGGTATAAAATCCAAAATATAGGGCCCACCCGTATGCCCCCAGTTGTATGTGGTAACGGTGTACATGTACCGGCACCTGGACGTGGTTCCTGACGCGGTTGACTTCAGCACGTTTGGGCAAGACGATAGTTTAAAAAGACCAGAAATGTTGATTTCTGGAGGGAAAAACACCATTTTGTGGGCATCGTTCTGTTGTTCTACAGCTAATGAATTCAACTTCTCGTACAGCTAATGAATTCATTTCTACATGTACCTGATTAAACCGTAAGGGATAGTGCAGATATGCAGTGCAAAAATTCAATTGTTATACAGCCTGTCTAAAAAAAAAAATGGTACAATCGAAAACGATTTTTTTTCAATATTAAATCTCAACATAAGTAAGTCGTTTTGAGCATCACATTAACAAAAAAAGACCAGGTTTTCCAATACTTTTTGTTTCATCTCATTTGCTTTTGTCAATCCAGAGATAACTCCAGTTTACTGCGGAACACAAAAATCGAGTTTGTTTCTTTTGCCAAGTTGCAATCTTTTGTGAGCTTCAAGACAGCATGGCACAGTACTCGAAACAACTCTGCCCATGCATAAAAGTGGCACAGGTGTATCGCACTAAATTGTTTATATCTCTGTAATCTGAATTGACAAAAGCAAATAAGATCAAACAAACACTATTGGAAAGCCCAGTCTTTGTTCTTTAATATTATGCCAAGTAAGAATGACTTATTTTGAAATTTCATATTTATCCAATTTTTTTCTGATTGTACCATTTATTTTGAGACAGGCTGTACATCAGAATGCTTTGTGAATCAGGTTCTGTAATTTCATTGAAAGGCTTTTTCATTGTTTCCTTTTTCCCAATTTACCAACACATGTAAAGTATATGTCCCATGCAAATCTTAACTTTTTCAATGACAGCACATTTGTGTACTGATATTGTGAAAATGTTCATCTTGAGAATCCTGGCAACAAATCTGTGACAAATCTTTTTACAAATCTGTAAAAAGATTGCAAAATAGTGACATTCCGGAAAAAAAAAAAATTGCTGTGTTAATTCAGAAATTAAAACAAAAAGACCTTTCCTGTAATATGTATTTATGCAAATGTACACCAAAGGATCTTGCTGTGTGTTGATTTTACAATAAAAGTATAAAGTACAGTACATGTACCAGTACATGGCACATTGTACACATAAATCACTCTGAATGTTAATGTGACACACCTCAACGCCTGAAAAAAAAATCTGACTATTTTATTTTTTTGCTGGTTGGTTTGCATGACAGTACGAGATGACTGGCAACGCCATGATGGAGTTCATTCACCCCGACGACCAGAAGGAACTAGCCAAGCAGTTTGTAGTCCAGGTACCAGGCCAACAGACATTCAAAGGCTATGGCATGGAGAATGCGGGCGACGCACCAACCTCCATGAGCTTCAACTGCTTCGATTCAGACAAAGGTTCGTACCGGTAGACTGGTGCATGGTACTGGCATCAATACCTCTAGCCGCTCCGTTCACAAGTACCCCCTCACTGACTGCAATATTTTGCTGCGAAGCGCGGCCACTGCGTGTATCTTGTACAAATCCCCTGGTGTACGTGCGTCACACACAAGGATTGGTGTGTGCGTCAACCAGCTAAATGTAGTGTCCCGCCCATGGGACCTCGTTGCTAGGTAAAAGGGCGCCCTCTTTTCTTAGTGCACGGAGCCCATAGAGTGCATTCAATAACATGTATTTCCCTCACACTTACCCATACTTCCGTCGTGGGTACAGATGCACATGCGCAATCTGTAGCAATAAACGAACGATTTCGGGTTACTTGAGGTCAAGCCATAGCAACCGGACCGGGTCAACAGGTCATGTGGCGATTAAATCCCCTTTGCAAATGGTTCGAACCGTCGAAAGCGAGTCATGGTGGCCACTGTACATGCTCTTCCAAAGTGAACAAGAAATGCCCGGTGTGTTTAAAGTTAACTTAGCTTTCCTCCCGTCGTCTAGTACTACTAGTGTGAAGTGAAGCTGAGAAAGTCTTGAATCCCACCTCCCTCCCCACAGCGCTGCAGCCATGTTTTCACATTGTATTGTGGGATACTCACCCAAGTAACCGGCTCAGCAGGTCAGTTACTAGGTAAAAGTAAAGTAAAGTCTGTCCCGAGCCTATATGGCCCATCAGGCCAGCGTTTATCTCCGGTTTCCTTGGCATGAAACGACTGAGAATATTTCTATTCCCACTGGACAGGATGCCAGTCCATCGCAGGTTACTCCCCAGCTAATGCTGGTACCCATTTATACTCCCGGGTGGAGAGAGGCAAGTGGGGATAAAGTGCCTTGCCCAAGGACACAACGTATGGCCAGCAGCCGGATTCGAACCCCTGACCCTCTGATCATGAGTCACGAACCCTTACCGCTAGGCCACACTTCCCCACTAAGGTCAGTTACTAGGGCTAGGCTCAAATAAGCGCGAGAAGTCACGTGAAAATAAATCGAATGCAGTAGCGCTTGCACGAGTAAGCGCGGGGGAAGTGATCGAATGTGGGGATACTAACTGGACTAGCTGACGATGCCCCAATACCCGTGTATTGAAGCCGCCGTCCGCCACCTTGGTTCCCCCATGATGCACACATGTTAAATACAAGTTTTTTTGAATGGGTATAGTTTGTATTGCATTTCTTCTTCACATTTGAAGTGAAAAAAAAAATGAGAATTGTATTTTCTGACCAGATTTTGAGATTAAAACAACATCCAAAGAATATTTTTATATAACGGCAATAGTTGTCCTCGGTGAAAAAAAACCCCTCAGCTACAGAAAGATTTGCAAATGTACCTTCCAGCATTTCGTTTTGGGGATCCTACAGATGGCGGATCATTTGCATCAAGACCCTCTGGCTAATTGACTTGTCGAAGCCATTTCAGTGGCTTATATTTATGAATGCAGATCACGTGTATTGCTAATTCCATTGGAGTATACCCTTGATGAATTCCAAATTGTCTAATTCATTGGAGTATACCCTTGATGAATTCCAAATTGTCTAATTCTGAGCTTCGCTAGGATTTCTTGAAACGGTCTTCTGTTAAGCTCTTCCATTTGTATGTTAAGTAATCAAACGACTTGGGCAAATACTTTGAAAGAAAATAATGTAATTCGGCAACTCAACAAAAAGACTTTGAAAATAAACATTATACTCTCCAGATACGGTATCTATGGACTAGAAATTAACTTTCGTGTACAGTTTGCAAGTTACTTGTACTTTTTTAGATTTTTTGTTTAATATGTGTCATGTTTGTTAATTAAATAGCCCTAACAGTCCTGAATCCTCCAATTTTAATATGATTTTGCACACCCTCTAGGGAGTTAATAAGAAAATTATGTACAATCATTTTCCTTTCTGTTTTGCACTCATACCTACGAAATAAAATCCAACAAGATTGCATAATTTTCAGTCACTTTTGAAATTTACTGTCACACTCAACTATCATATAAAAAGTGAAAGTTTGATTAGAAATTTTGCCGTCATTTAAACTTTATGTACAATAGTTTTCCTTTCTGTTTTGCACTCGTACCTACGGAATAAAATCAAACAAGATTGCATAATTTTCAGTCACTTTTGAAACTTACGGTCACACTCGACTATCATATTAAAGTGAAAGTTTGATTGGAAATTTGGCTGTCGTTTAAACTTCAAAGTTAAAAATATTACCTTTGCATGAAACCACGATATCAAACACCAGGAAATACAAATGGATCAATTTACATGTTAATTTGATCTTTCTGTTTCATATCCAAGCCTTAAGCTTTATTGGGAGTGAAAGCTTTCCCCAAAGGAAATAGTTTGTTTGTAGGGAACGATCAGGCCTTTCTTACACTTTAGTAACATTTAAATACTCAGGTAGAGGGTGAGTAAAAAAAAAAAAAAAACGAAACCCAAATGGGAGGACCAATTTTTGGGAGAAGTTTTGCCTGTAGCATTTTCAAAACCTAGGATATGAAAGCCCAGTCATTAAGCTTTCTTTTAGTACAAGAATCATTCAAATCACTCAAGTACTTTTCAAGTTACGGAATTTTGAACACAAGACTGTTTTAAAATTCTATCCTGATCACAAAAAAGATAAGTGTTCATTTTAGCAAAAAAAATGAATACAATTCACATGCATCCCTGTGAGAACTATATTTTGTTTAGCTGAAAGAACACTTACAAGACACTCACAGCTGCTTATTTGAAGTAAATGAATTTCTATTTTACTGGTGATAGAATTTTTAGCATTGCCGCATGATTCTGAAAAAAAGTCGGGCAAAAACATTTTTGAAAATGGCTGGCTTAGATGATCCAATGACTGTTTCTTGAACGAACAAATTCATACACAAACAGCTGTCGTAAATGCTGTTCTTATCTTGGTCCAAAACGTTGCGCAGCTACGCCAATGTTCGTGAAATCACTTGTAAGTTTATTTGGCAGCTGCGCAACAAACTTGTTGCATAAGTCTTACACATGGTGCAAGCTACGCACGTTTTTGTGAAATCATCTTCAGGACCCAGTGCATGCGACCACTGATTTGTACGTGTATATTTATTGTCCAAAAAAGGCACAACCAATTTCCTTTTGAAAATGCACAAATTCTGCAGCGTTAGCATCGGCATCATGATCACAATGTCCATACCTTTGGCACCACCAGTACTTTTAAACAGGAGTCAACGGAGGAAGAACCGAAGTAGGTACTGATGGTACATGTATAACTCTGACAAACTGCTTTGCAAACATACATGTACAGTACATACAGCGCATCCCACAATACCCGCAACTTTTTTTTTGCGAGGCTGCAGCGTCGGTGCGGAAACACGTACCACCATTATTTTTATGCCATTTCAAAGCTTGGAATCTTAACTATATCCCTGGCGAGGATTGGTTTGATATTTAAAAGACTTTTAAAACTAGTCATGTTTAAATAAAGGCATGACGAAAACAAACTCGACTGATTTCAAGGAAAATGGATGATGCGGTACATGTACATCAGACGCAAACTCGAGTCAACAAGCTGTTGAAATAACCCAAAAAAAACCAAATGTTGACTTATATTAAAAACACATTGAAATTGAAACGAAGAACAATATTGTGAATTTATTTAAGGTGTAGTCTACGTGGATCGAAAATAAAAGGAAACACAGAAAGTAAATACATTATCACATTATAAACATTTCATGGACACATTATAAACATTTCCACATTAGAAAAAATGCGCATGATTGATTTTCCTTGAAATCGGTGGAGTTTGTTTTTGACATGCCTTTATTTGAACACGAATAATTTCAAAACCCTTTTCAAAATCAAACTTATACTTACCAGGGATAAAGTTAAAATTCCAAGCTTTAAAATGATATAAAAATAATGGCTGTACGTGTTCCCGTTGTGAGACTAGAGTCATGCAAAGAAATGTTGTGGGTATTTTGAGTCGCGCTGTACATGGTTTTCTGACCTTTTACATTCCTTTTCCAAAAAAACACTGACTTTCATTTTTGTTTTTTTCTCAACCCCTTACCTATTCCAGATGAGGAGATGCCCTCCATTACAGATTTTATTCAGGAGCGACAATTCTTTCTGAGAATGCGCTCCGTCATGTCGCGGCGAGGGTCTGGCGGGAAAGGCAAAGTCATCGGTTACCGGGTGAGATATCGGGAAGGATTGTAAACACCAACTGCGATTAGTATCGCAGAATATCCCTGCTTAACAAATCGGGCCTTGTTTTCTTTCCTCAGGTCTTGATTTTTCTTCAAGCCTGTACACGTGTAGTGCACAAGTGCTCCGATTGAATGTGGACAAAATCAGTTGACACAATCACAAAATTTCGTCCATGTCGGTGCTCACTCAAAATTGTGGGGGTGCAACACGCCAAGGGAAAAAAAGAGCATTGATTCTTGTATTCAAACCATTCAAAAGTCAAATTGTTACAGGAATCATTGCGGTCAAAGGCCCAATCGCATAGCACTCCTCAGAACATCATTTTCGTCTATCAGAGCCCCTTGATCCAAGGGCGGATCCAGGGGGGGGGCCAAAGGGGGCCATGCCCCCCCCCCCCCAAAAACGAAACCAATTTTTTTTTTTGTATGTGACAACGCAATAGGCAATGAGTACACCACCATCTTTTCCTCAAAAAAACATTGGTTAAAGTGGTCAGAAATTGTCTCAGATCGCACCACAGAGCATCTAGAATCCAACATTTTTTTACGAACCCCACGCCGTAATTTTTTGGACCCACTTTTTGGGGGGACCAAATTTTTTTTTGGCCCCCCCCAAAATTGTGTTCTGGATCCGCCCTTGCCTTGATCTATTTAACATCAAAGGCAGGATTTGCTTTTAAATAGTGTCACAGCTATACAAATCTTCACGCTTAGCACAACATTGCTGGATAGCACCACTTGTTTGATAAACATTAAGCAGTACCATGAAATACGGGCTGTTTCCTTGAGCCCAACATTCCCCTACTCTAACAATCTCCCACCCCATACTGTCCTAGATTGGAGACCTGCGCCGTGTTTTGGCGACCCTTGACCTGGAGCGTGTTTCTAACGTCACAGCAATGACATGAAACATGTTTCTGTGCACCGCGAAAACGCCTGACCAAATAATGTTCGTGATGTCACTTTGTAACAAATGTTTTGGTCACTTTTAACATGATTTACAAAAGTCGGGCAGTTATTATTCCAGTATTTTCCCTAGGCAGAGTAATAATTGTTTTATATCAACTTTACCCAACCGACTGTACAAACCACTGTTTAAATCCCTTTTGTGATAACAAAGTCGGTGATATACGTCGGTGAAGGGCAAAAACCTAATTTGATTTACATTACCCCGACGCAAAATTCCATCTTATGAATAGATAACAAAGTAATGTCGTCTGCTAAAACTTGTTTCTGCCATCTTGAAATGTAAGTTAACCAATTACAAATCTTGGTTCACTTTTTGATTGAAGCAACAAAATGGTCCCGTACCAGAAACATGTTTACGTTCACAGCGCCAAAACACTGACATCACATCTTACATACATGTGTAGTGCCTCCTTGGCAAGCAGAACCAAGTTGCCACAGCAGTAGAGGGTGCCATCAATTAGACGAATTAAACCCAGTCTTGCAAATTTGGGCACTGGGCCCAAGAAATTTTGAGCTTACATGTACCTCAAAGAATATAGCACGCAGAAGGTGCATGTATGCTCAGAATTAGTGTGGTTCAAGTGCCACAATGCGTAAGACTACAGGATTTGATTCATCTTGTTGGTAAGACCTCTCCCGCTATGGCAGCTTGGCTGCACCTGCAATTGACTGGCCAGTCTTCGGCCAAGACTAATGATGAAACACTGGCTGGCCTCAGACTCTCTCAGCCATGATTTTAATCGTTTACTCTTTGGCCCCTGGGCAGGTCGTCAACTTCTGTGGGCGTTTGAAGCTGGCGTCTTCCTCCAGCAGCAGGGGCTACACCGTGGAGGGGCTGATCTGCCTGTGTCGCCCCATCCAGCCCCAGCCTATCATGGAGGTACGCATGGACGGCAACATGTTCATGAGCAGGCACAGCTTGGACATGTGCTTCACCTTCTGCGATCCCAGGTAATTCATTCGCACCCTTCTCAAAACCGATACCAAAATGAATTTGTAACGTCACAGTGAGGTATCGCACTGCTGTCCGGAACCAGTTTATCAACTTACAATACTAATTTGTTTTATTATACCTCATACATGTACATATTCAGTTGCCACATTTTTTCATTGCAGTATGCACCTCATGGGCATAAAATCTTGGGAGAAGCTTGTCCAGCTCACCAGAAGAATATTATTGCTCAACCTCAGAAAAGTTCATTTCATTTGCAATACAGTAACTCCTAAGAGTTTATACCGCATTGTGGACAACTTTTTTTTAGTACAGGAGACATCTGTATTTCTTGAAATTTCTCCAGTTCACCATCATTGAGCTTGGGAAAACGCTAATTAACATTTGGGGCGATGTTCGCGCATGCGTACTGCACTTGTGCGACGGTTTCACAATTGGTTCGTAAAGCGCATGCATGCGTAGTACGCATGTGTATTTACCAGTGAGAACTCAGCTCGCAATCATGAATATGTATGAGCTTTTTAAATTTTTACTGTTTACAAAAGAGCTTGTGAGTTGAGTTGGGACTGGATGACTTGTGATGGACTTATGATGACTCACGATCCATTACAGTGTAACCCGATTACAACACGGCTTCGTCTCTGGCAAGTTTGCCACAGATGCTTCTTGGTGGTTGGTTCAAAACTGAGCGATCAGTATGTTTTTTTTCCGCAGGATCATCACCCTCATTGGCTATGAACCCCATGAGCTGGTAGGCAAAACCGTCTACCAGTTTCACAATCCTCTGGACGCAAGGAAAGTCAGTGATTGCCACACCAACTGTAAGACCCAGATGTGTTTTCAGATTTTGTTTCCTCTTTGTTTGTTTGTTTGTTTGTTTCCAACTGTCTGTTTGTTGTTGTGGGTTTGACTGCGTTAGTACTTTTCCTTTAAAGGGGCACTAGGTCCTGAAATCCCCGAAAATGTTATGTTTTGGATGTTTACTTAGCCTATTTCAAACATCTGGTTGAAAGGAAACCAACCTAATGTCTTACCGTTCCCGAGAAAAGACGGAAAAAAACCGCTTGTTTACATCGGACATGACGGAGTACGAATACGTTTTTCGTGTCGTTCTCATGTACGCTATACACGTTGTGTGTCTCGGGAACAGCGCGCGGTGACCAATCACCAATGCAAAAAATTGTGGTTTCTTCAACGTCCGCAAAAGGCGAACACTTAACGCGTACGAATGAAATCACAACTAGCATCCAAACAGCTCGTATATATGGGGTCGCAAAACTGAACCCCGAAATTTGTTCTCGCACGCATAATACAGGAATAACACAAAAACGCCCAGTTTTGAAAGGATAGTTGTGTGGATGTTTATATCCTACTTTTAAAAGTTATTTCCGATTATCATCATCTCATTCAAAGCGCGTTTTGTAGCCCAATTGGGCTGTTCCAGGACCTAGTGTCCCTTTAACGATGCAGCGTTATTAGAAGCTCTGTGCTCTACAAGAACTTGTTGGAAAAATTCGCAAGCTTGCCCAGTAAATTTATTTCAAAAATGCTCTCAGTCAGCTTTGAATATAAAGCATTTATAACTATATTTATGATAAAGCAATAATACAAAATAGTTGTGATTGTGGCAGGCAAATCTCTCTACTTAATCTGCCTGCTGAAAACATTGTCTCGTTCTTGTTGATTTCTGTCTGCTGGCTGTCAAACCAGTGCTTGTAGGCTGTCCACTTGATCGGTCTGCGTTGGTAATAGTTCAACAGTTTCTGGCTTCCGTTCTGCTTGCCAGTTGTGGTTTTGTGCAGGAATTGCTACTCGTCATTCATTCTGTTATCTGTTTAGATTGTACCGTATCCTGAAACATGATACATTTGAAAGTGTTAATATTTTCCCACTTTAGAACTTTCTCCAGTACTTGATTTTGTTTTCTTAAAATTTTAATCTTTATTTGTTTGTCTCTCTGTTGTCCTGTTTGACTCGATCTTTTTGACCACTCTTGTCTCGGGAAGTTGGGTTTATATTATCTGGGTCAAGTGGATGTGATGGCAATGCCAACAAAATAAACACCTGCACTTCAGGCTAATCTTCCTTCGAAGAGGAAGTTGAACGTAGTACGAAAGAAAGCAGGAAGAATAATTGAGAGGAAATACAGTCTCGGTTTCTGGTGTTAACATCGGTCAAATTCTTTGTCCGTGTGGCCTGGTTTTGATTTTGAAAATGTGCCACGAAAAGGCATACAAAACCTTTTCGTTTCATTGTTTGAGAAGTTACAAATGTAATTTGTAAAATTGGTTACTGGTACCCGATCCCATTATCTGGAGCTGGTTCCTGACATCAACGGTCGGGTAACCGGGTACCCAGTTTCCGATGCACACCCCTATTCTGTGACAGGATTTTTTTTCTTGAATTTCTTGCCCACAATGTAGTAATCGTGAAGGGTACAAGTGCTACCAAGTATTACCGCTTCATGGGCAAGAACTGCTCCTGGGTCTGGCTGCAGACGAGAGCCACAATCATCTACAACACCAACAACGTGGCGCAGTACATTGTCTGCATGAACTATGTCATAGGGTTAGTATGCCGTTGGTACTCAAACAGTAAAGAGATCCGTTGTGGTTTAAAGTTAAAGCTACTCTCTGGGCTATTTTTTTTTCAGTTTCACACTGAATAAAAAGCATTCTTTTTAAATTGCTCTTTTTCTAGCAATACGGGAAAGTTCTTCACTTTTCAGAGACGGGGTGCAAATCAATCTGCCAATGTTCAACCTCGTTCCCATGGTGTCGAGCAGTATGCTCCCACCACTAACTGCTCCCACCGCTACCTGTTTTGTTTTTTTGATGTTTGCAAATGTAACCATGAACATGTCAAGTCCATCACTTTTGGGGTGTTCATTCCAGTGTCTGGATTGACAGGTACCCTGTGTGTTGGGAAGACTAGCTATGGGGCCAAGCTAAATCCAACATTGAAACCTTTTATCGTTTCATGGATTCATTGTTTCATTATTTTGACAAGAGTTGTCACTGAGTCCTCTCAAGTCAATGCGAGACAATAGATGATCAAAAAGTAAAAAAAAAAAAAAAAAAAAAAATACATAGAAGAAAAACCCATTGTTGCACCATTTAACAATGGTGTCAGCCTTTTGGTTTTTCCTCACAGGGATATCACTAACTGGTAAGGGGACTTCCAAAACTATGAGTGGACCATAAAAAATAAAATGTAGTTTAAAACATTGTAAAGGTTAATACGCTTAAGAATTTTCTCTTCTCACTTTTTGTTTTTCAGGAAAGACGTTGGCGAGCGACATCTGCTGATGGAAGAGATGGCCAAGAACAGAGGAGGGAATGAGCTCTGTGGTAGCATAGCTGACAGCGACTGTGGAGACAGTATTGCCAGCCCCAGCAGCGACATAGGCAGCAGTTACACGCCGAGCTGTGCCGACTCGCCGGGCACTTCTGGCATCGGTTCGGGCTCAGACATGGACGAGCCCCCACTCAAACAGGTCAAGAAGGAGATGGACCTGAACGAACTCATCCCCAAGGCCGTCCGCAATAAGGAGGAAATCAGGAAACCTCCTGCTGAGCAGGACATTAGCTTTGCCGCGCTCTTGAAGATGGATAACTTAAAGACGATGTATGGAGCCACAGAGAGAATGGACACGACAGAAAAGACGAACAAGGTGAAAAAACCGGAGAGTGTTTTGAAGGACACAAGCAGCAGGGCACAAGAAAAAGCAAACAGTGCCGGGCTTGTCGCAAACAGTGTTGAGGGGCCCTTTTGTAATCCTCTTCTGCACGAATCGACAGAGATTCAGCGGTCCTTCCAAAGAGCAACTCAGAATTCCACCATGGATACATCGTTGCCCATGCAGATTTTCTCGCCAGTGAGTGAAGTGGGCTCGGACACCAGTAGCACTGCAGAGGTTAGTTCACCCCCAGTGGCAGCAGCATTGCCATCGGACGGACAGGATACCCGGATGGTCAGTGTAGGAGAAGATGACGAGAACTTGTTCAAGGACCTGTTGGAGTTGACCAAGGACGACAACATGGACAACCCCTTGTCGCAACTGAACTCAGAACTGCCTCGCATGTCCTTCAGCGTAAACAGTCCCAGCAACCTGAGCCAGCTGCTGAACAGTCAGAGTGCTGCTAGCATCTCGCTGGGTATGTCCAGTCCCGAGTCCCAGGACCTGGTGGATGACTGCATCGAGGGAGATGATGACGTCTTCAACAGTAGACCTGAATCGGCCGAAGCTTCTTCCAGCATCTTGGCAGGACTTCTGGCCAAGCCGCCTGCCCAGGAGCAGGCCTGCAACGGTGCGGCAAGCCAGTCTGTGGAGCCTCCCTTGAGTCAGGACAACCTGCACTACATGAACATGTCAATCACCAAAGTGGACCCCATGATGCCAGGAGCTGGCTTTCAGCTGCCGGACGACATCGCCAACTTCTCGTTGGAGTTCTGCCAGCCAGTCATGGACCAGGCAGCGTGCGATGCTATCGCAGCTCTAGGGGGTGACTTCTACCTACCTGATCCCATAGACAATTACAGCAATGGCAGTGGAGCCACCATTACAGAAGTTACCGATGCAGAAGACCCTGGATTCTTACTCAACCCCAGTGAACAGGTGCGACATGCTGCTGTAAAGCCTTCTGTTAACCCATTGAACAGTCCTCCAAAAATGCCAAATGGCATTGCACAAACTCAAGTGCCTCTGGCACAGCCTCATAATGCTTCTCCTGACCTACATCTGAACGTTACTGAGCGAATATCCCAGTTGGACATCAAAGACAGTAGTAGGGCTCCACAATTGGGTGAATCAGGTAATGCCCCGATCCTACATGCCCTGCTGCTAGAGAACAAGGGCAACAGTCCAACTGCTGAGAAGTCCAGAGGGCAGCGGCCCCCACCACTGAGCAGCAATGGACTCAATAGTGTGAATGACGTCCTGGGTCCAATCACTCCCAGCACGAAAGCTGCAGTGGATGCCGTGGACTCACTCATACAGGACTTTGATGACACATCAGGTACTAACACTGCAGACCCGGTTTTTGCCACTTTGAATGGCAACAACAACATGGTATGCCAGGAGAATTTCGTCTTGCTGCAGCAAATGGACCAGCAGCGGAAAGTCATGGCTGAGGAGCATCGCAGACAGCAGCAGATCCTCATAGACAATCAGGCCAAACAACAGAAACTTCTGGAGGAGCAGCAGCAGCAACTGCTACAGAGCCAAAACCTGCAGAGCCAGTCCATCGAGCAGGCGCTGCTCCGCAAGCAAATGCAGCAGAAATTGCAGCAGCAGCAGCAACAACAGCAGCTGTTGCACCAGCAACAGCAACAACAGGCATTACTTGCTCAGCAAGCTGGCATGGTAAGTGGCCGGCCAGGCCAGGGTTACGACTTCGCAGATCAACAGGCCCGAACAGTTTCAGCAGCGCTTCCAGTTGCCAGCCATTCCAGGCAGCAGCAACCAATGCAGCAGTACTCTGCCTCCCCTCCTCAAGGCATTGTGGATCCCTTCCATTTGCAGCAGCAACAACTGCAGCAGCAGCACCAGCATGGGAGCCCACCTGTCTTGGGAAGATCACCCCCGATTGGCAGTCCGCCTAACTTGCCGCAGCAGTACCTCGTACAGCAACATGCTATCCAGCAGCAGCAGCAGCAGCAGCAGCAGCAGCAGCAGCAACAACAAATGCAGCAACAGCAGCAACCCACAAACCCAGCTGGTTACTCCAACCAGATACCACAGCCTTCCTACTGCAGGCAACAGCAGCAGCAGCAGAGCACCGGCGTTGTACAGGGACAAGTTAACAGCAACTCCATGATGTTTCAGAACCTGCAGTGGGGCAGCGCGGATCCGGTATTGTCTCACCAAGGCAATGCTATGCTGAACAGGCAGGGCCGGTCCATGGACCAGTCTGACCTGGATTTTGGCCTAGCTAATAACCACTTGTTGCAACATCAGTAGCCTCTTGTCTTACAAAATGTAGCCCTACCGTACCCTGTACTTATTTAAAAGCTGTTCTGGATCCACTCAGTTTTTGTTGCAAACCCTTCCTCTGCATTTAAGAGGCTGTGAAATTAGACTTTAAGCTTGCAATTTACTCCCAACAATGTGGCAAATGTTAACACTAACCACCCTGAATCCTTCAAAATCCTCTGCCAAAGTGGAGGAATTTGGGGAATTGAGTTTACATGGCAAAAGTGCGTTACTGATTTCGTAGGATGCACTTTGCAAGGTCTTGGGCCGGACATTGTGTTGTTTTTGCTCAGCCATGCTTAAATATAGGCCTGGATTATACTTGAAATCCTCCGTACTGCTCCAGGATGTCACTGGCCAAACCTCAACATATTGACAGTCACTGCCGCAGGATTTTGCAGGATTCAGGCAGTGGTCACCCCTCCACGGACCATATTCAAGAAATAATGGAGGAATTTGCAGGATTGAGGCTGTATGCTATTTTTCCATGAGGCCAGTTGGAGGATTTTGCAGGATTGAGGCTACATCCTAGCAAAAAGGCCTAGGGAGTTAGGGTTAAGCTGTGTCTATTTCTCATTCTAGTGTGTACCTAGTCAAAAACAGAGTTAGAGCTGATCAAATGATATACCTTGTCAAAAAAACTCTTAATAGTAGGGTTTTTTTTTCGTTGTAAAAACATGACCAGTTTGACAAGACTTTGCTCTTGAGGCAGTGCTATTTCATTGCCGATACATTTTATGTTTGATTTTGCTCTTCCGGATATCTGAAAAGTCAGGATTGTAGAAATTCATGCTATGTAAATACATGATATGACGATGTGCCTTTTTTTTTCTTTTTCCTTTAAGGAAAAGGGGTGGATGTTGATGTCGTTGCAGGGTTTTATTAAGAAAAAAAAGGAAGAGTAAAATTCCATTTCTCTGTCTCACAACAGGACAAATTGATGAGTACTTGATTTCAATCTTGAGGCCTGTTGTGAATTGTTTTCGTGTATATCTTATGTGCAGTTTATTCAAACAACCCAAAGATTTTATATAAAGAACTTAAAGTGCATATATACATGTGCATAAGTGTTGAATTTTATTGGACATTTTTTGCTGAAGTTACAAGAAGAGTTCGATGGCAAAAGTTTGGTAATTAATATAGAGGAGCCAACAGTAACACAGTGTATCAGTTTGCGAATACGTTTACAGCAAACTCCCGTGAAACCAAACAGAATCCAGTAAGACCAACTTCGGAGTCTCATTTGACCCCCGATGTCAACCCATGACCTTTGAACCCAGAGTCACAGTAAAGAGGAAAGCACCATGTAACCCATTTTACCAAAACAATGTTAACAGCACATATTAGAGAAAGAAAAAAACAAATCAGGGAAAAAAACATTGGTGTTCATTTATTCGACCAATAATCAAATTGTTGATGTGGCTAACCTGTACGTAAACGGAGAGAAAAAAATGGTTGAAACATCCTAAAAGTGTCTTATAGGTCTCTCTCAAATGATGTCACTTCCTACAGGTAGCCACATGCATCGGCATTTTGGGCGTCAAATTGTTGTGATGCGCATCGGCTGTGCCGTATTTCGAAGAAATAACAATTAACATGCACGCGTGTTAGAACATTTTGCAAAGTGTGTGCACGTGCACCACGTAGCATTGAATACGCAGTTGTAAATTGCCTACGACGATGTCGTCCTTTGAGAGAGATCTGTTACAGACTGTAGGATGAACTTTTGACTTCGAAAATATATTAAAAACAAAAACAAACAAAAAAGAGAAAAGGGGGGGGGGGAGGAAATGAATGATTTTTTTTTTTTTTTTTTTTTTTTCACTGCCCACCATTTTTTTTGTGAAGTACAAATACCTCAGTCGCTAAGGACCAAGTTATCGCACAGATGTTAATTTTTAGTGTATATATATAAATAAATGTAACAAATTTTACATTTTCTCTTTTCCCCATTTTTCCTGCTGGTGAAACCCCACCTTAGTTGTACAAAGCTCCCTCAGTTTTTGGACACTTGAGTCAGTTAATTTGTTAATTATGAGGTGATTATTTATAACAAACCAATTGTTCCTTGACTTATTACATATAAATCAACAAATTAATAATTAAAGTAACAATACAAGAGTGGTATTTGGAGATTTTAAAAAACGGCTTGTGTTTTTTTTTTTTTTTCAGATCAAAGCTGCTTTGCAAAATTGCAAAACAAAGTCACGTCCTTTACAGCAAAAAGAAGTTGTGTTTATATAAGAAGTTAAAAACGAATAAAAGTGTGCACTGAGAAATATACTTCATTTGTTCATATTTCTTAATTATCATGGCTGCCTACACATAATTTTGAATGTGTGTAAAAATTCTTCTTTTTTTAATGGGGGAAAACAGGGTCTTATAAATTATAAGTGGTGATGACAATGTTTTTTATACAAATTTCATTAAAAAAATTGCGAATAACAAAAAATCCAATGCTGCGAAACTTTTTCTTGCAATTTTGAAACTCAGAACAGCTGATTAATTAAAGATGCATTGTCACTGTACAGTATTCAAATTTTCTCTGCAAGCTTAGTTTAGGCATTGAATGTGTAAATGTTGGTCGATGTACATGTAAGCAAATGTCTAATGCAGCTGTGGCATCACTAGTTGAGATTTTCACAAGAACAAAATTCTGCTCCACTCTTGGGTGTTTTTTTTTTGGCTGTTCTGCAAAGTTGCTGTTTTCCAATTTTCATTTATCAAAATACTTTAAGGATTGCCCTTTTGCACTGAATGGGACATTTTTTGGTTTTTGTGTGTGTGTGGGTTTTTTTTTGCTGTTCTGCAAAGTTGCTGTTTTCCAATTTTCATTTATCAAAATACTTTAAGGATTGCCCTTTTGCACTGAATGGTACATCAGTTTAATAACCCCAGAATTTCATAGTTTATTTTTTTCCAAATTTATTCCGGACAGACGTTTGTGGGAAGAGAGAGATTTAATTAAGTTTATTGGCTAAGATACGTTTGATCTTTTATACTAAGTTCTAGGTCATGCCTTTTGGGTCATCCCTTTTATCTATTTGGTGTTTGTTTGGTGTGTTCCAAATCTCAAGTTATTTTGTAAGATCTGTTTGGGCACAAATATTGTTACTGTGTTGTGAATTTCCAATGATCAATTCAGGATTTGGTGGTGGGGTCAGGCTTGGAGTGATGTATCAGTGCTAACTTTTTTTTGTCGTAAGATTGTTTCAGTCGTGTTCCACATTAACCTGGTATTCTTCCGTATTTGTATCTCCGGTTTCGACACTGAATTTCTTCCTCATTTGTTTAATATTTACTCAAGGAATTACATTTCGTTTCAGTGACTTTCTGAACCTGATGAGAACCTATCGCAAAGTTGTTCAGACTTATGTTGAAAGGGTCAACTAATATTAAGCAATCAAAATGGCTCGGTTTGCAGAATTGACACGATTCAAGTTTACATTCTGTTATCATAACGACATAGAAACATAGAAATGTTAGGATGTTTACTTTGGAAAATAATTATTGGTAGTTGCAACAAGATTTTGTAAACATGATAAACAATCAACAGTTAAATTCTAAAGATAATCAAAAGTTGTTTTCCAGTAAGATTGCCGTGGTAACTGTACATATATTGGCACATTTTTGAAAAGAAAAGGAGACAAACGTTTTGTAGTGTCCATTTCAGTTATGTAAATTATCCATGTAAATAAATGGAAGGTTTTCTTGTAACGCATATCAAATCATGTTCTTATGTAATTTTTTTTAAAAATAGAAACACTGAGCTTAAGCTGACATACATATTTTATTATTTTTTTATTTTTTTGTTTGTATGGGGGTGTAACTTCCACAGAAATCTTGTAAAAAAAATATCAGGGTTTTAATTCAAGTCATAGTGTTTTCTGTTAAAGTTTGAATATTTCACTTGAAAATATAGGCTGAATTCAGAGATGTGTTTGGAGTAATAATGGTGCAGGCAGTGATACTAAATGTTTCATTTTAGCTATCATCACGGGATCATTGTGTTTATGAAAGGCTCTTGACTCCGTGCACAAGTTCCCTCTCAGTGGTAACGAAGGGGCACTTCAAATGCATTAGGCCATCAGCCTGGGGGTTTGGTCGGTATCAAATGAGGGGAATAATGGTCATTGTGAATTGCAGCAAGGTATGCACCCCTGTAGTTGGAAAATATGTGATAGCATTGCAGCGGTGCCAGCTTTTTGGGTGCTATCACTTTTTTTGAAAAAAGTGGCAGCCAAAACATGCTTGTTACCACATATAATTAATTCCGTTCAAACATATTGGCGGCCATTTTGAAGTTGTTTTTTTTAAATGATAACACCCAAAAAACTGCCACCGCTCACACTACAAAGCTATCGCACATTTTCCAACTCTAGATGTGTAGACCTTGGCAAAAATCGCTATGAACATTCCTCTTTTCGATCATTTTGATACCGGTGGCCCAATTTTGGGACCGAAGCTGATAGCCTACATTGCTGATCAGTCATGTGTACTTTGCGCCGTATGCGCACGAACCAATGGGTCACAAAGTGCCATCTATACCATTCGTACACCAGAGTCCATTACGTAACTTGCAATTGTTTTCTCAAATGGAATGGCCAAATTTTATCGCCCCTGCTTCCTAGAAGCTAAATAAGCAGACAAACAAAGAAAAAGTGGGCCTGTGATACCAGTTTAGCCTAGCCAGCTTTTTCCGTTTCACATGCGGTCCAAGAAAAATGGCGTCGTATGTTTCGGTCAAGAAGTGAATGAATGCATTCCTTAGAGATGTATTGATGTCATATGGTCATACACAGGGTGTCCAAAAAAAAATGCACGGCAGTATTTGCAGTTTCTTTAGTTAGTCACAGGACAATTTCTGGAAATATTCCCATATCTGGCCATCACTAATTTTCCCCTCCAATCAGCCATCAGAAAGTGATAATATGTCCTCAAAAGTCACAATTAGCAGGGAAAATGTTGAAGTTTTTACTAAGAAAACACTTAGAAATTTTCAGACCAGTCTCATAGGGTTTGTGCACAGGGTGACAAGGGATGGTCAGACATGGGAATCTTTCCCGATTTCTTAAATAAAAATCATCTTCATTGCATCAAAATCCGACTACACATTTCAGTGAAGCAGTTCTTTTAAAAACAGGAGCATTGTCAGGACAATGAGAGCCTATAAATTTTATGGGAAAAAAAGTGATTTTTAGATTTTTTAATCTAAATGTTAACCACCCATCGATCGTGAAGTCTAAATACAATGTGCATTGATGGATTGCGCACGTTGAAGTATAATTTCAGTGAAATCAAATGAATTTTCTCTTTGCGAATGATTCTGGCAGGGACATACATGACATGGCACACTCTTCTAGAGTGAGGTGTTTCTTTCTGTATTTAGGTGAAGAAATGAAAAATCTCAATGTTTTGTTGGAATTGTATCTATTTTTAAGGAAGAGTTGTCCACATGCACAATATATAAAGTTATCACAGGGTTATTTTGGTTCTGCACAAAGGACGAGAAACAGATAGGGTTCTAGAACTTAGTGTGGGATGTGAAGTTATGAACTTTTTCCCCAGAAAAGGTAAATTTACTTCTTTTTTATTTTACTGTTTAAAATTATTGATGTATATCTATGGGAATGAAAAAAATTTCTCAGGAAAACAATCCAACCTGCCTTCGTCATTTTAACTAAAAAAAAATTGACAGAATCTTGGATATTTCTAAATTTTAAAATATTAGTTGCATATTGAAAAGAATGTTTAGTCAACTCCAACCCCCCCCCCCCCAACACATTAAAGTTCTAGAACCAAATCTGTGGAAAAACTTTTGTACTGCATCGTGTCAGTATTTTCCTGCACTTTTTTCTACTCATATTCGGGTTGTACAGTAAAGAATACAATTTTGAAATAAAAGAAACTTTTCAACCTGCTTTTAATTTTTTTTTTTTATTCTACCTTATCAAACTTTAGTCTTGTAACTATGAACTGTAGATAACATCACGAGAATTCACTTGTATATTATAAATATTTAAACAAAAATTTAAAAAAATACCTGATTGTACATGTTTTATGTGTATTTTCCGTCCTGTTAACTCTTAATCACCGTTGTTGGAGTATAAAAAAAATTATCTGTGAGATGTAACTGTCTTCTTTTTTCTTTTCGAGGGATGGGGGATTTCTTGTTTTTTTTTTTTACATTTGGCTGGTATTATTTTGCTGTGAGTTGTGCATGTTTTTGTTAAAGGGCCCATGTAATGTAAGTTTTTAAGCAGTCCTTGGAAATACAACTCTGTGTCCCATTTAACCGTATTTTCAATGTTCATTTTGCCATTTGAAAGGCATTTTGGTGCCTGTTTGGTTTTTATGCTAATGAAAATTTCCATATTCATGAGCAAAAGTGTGGCGTCATTTTAGGCAGAAAACTCCATGTTACAGCTATTTCAGCACCAACATTTGCAAGAATTGTGGATATTTTGCTGTTGTAAATTGTCTTTTCTTTGGTGATTCGTTGTTGGTTCAGTACATGACAGTAAGCCAATGAGCAAAGTTTTCTCAATTGTTTCAATGAACACATTTTGGTTTCATGATTTGAACAGAAAACCCCTATTAAGTGAATAGTGTCTTCCTGAAATGACAACACTTAAACAGCACCCACATTTGTCAGGAAAAAGCATGACAACTTTTAAATGTTTAAAGAAGTGCACTTTTCAATACATTTAAGAGGAGTAGAATGTTGCACAAATTATGTTCCCAAGTAAAATTCATGTCGTGTGCCCTTTAAGCAAGGTGTATAAACAAGGAGAGTATTGTCCTTTTGAAAAAAAATAATGTGTCTAAACAAAATTGAATGTATAAATGTTTAAATACAACTTCAAATCTCATATGTCACAGCCTCCCAAGAATTTTTCTAAAAAAAATCCTTTTTTGTCTCCAAAATCTTATTTAGGTGTTTCTTCCTAATTTAATTACAGTGTTAGCTTTAAAATATCTGCCAAATTCCAACACCTGTTTTTTTTATTGATTCTGATAGACTCAGGACTTCGTAGCCCAGCCAAAAAAAAAGAAGACCATTGAAGGTACATATGATCATTACTTTGTACATTTTTTTATATTTGAAGCAACAAAAGTGCTAGAAATCCGAAGTATCGGGTGCAGAACAACTAACCAGAAAACAAACTTGCAAAATATTTTCAGTCTCGTCAATTTTGGGCCGGGGCACACAATAAGTGTGCTGGCACACTTATTTTAAAACCACCTTCCATTTTCTTTTGATTGGAACTATTTCAAGCGGAATAGCAAGATTTTTATCATTAAATCGGTAGGTGTGTTTCTGTGTAATAAACAATGTTCATACGTGCCTTTAATTCACACGAGATGACGTCCAAAATGTAATCAGTTGGATAACTATATGGTTTTGGATTTTTGTGGAATAAGATTTCTTTTTCAAACATTATGGGTTTCGGTTAAATGATTTCAAATGTTATCCACTCGGACAAGAAAGGGAGTAAACTTCGAGTGTGCTTATTATTCTTCCTTACACTCTAATAACAGTAATTTTCTTTACTTTTTCCAAGGCGTAACTTCCAAAACAGGAATTCTCAAAAGTTATTTTGTTTAAAATGCGTTTTGGGTCATTATTGAGTTATTTCTGTATTTATTAAAAACGACCGTGTCCTAATTAATTCTGCACATTTTTGTTGTCTGTAACACCACGCTATGTATCTTTGAAAAAGTTTGATGTAAATTAACTGTATGAAAGATCTAATGTCCAGAGTACAGTCAATATATTCAGGTGTTTTTTTGTAAATAAGATAAATGAATCATTGTGATTTTTCTTTTTTTAAACACATGCACCCTCTTGTTAAAAAAGGTGAATTAATCTAATAAAAATGAATACTGTAAAACATGCTGGACTTCATAACATTGATGGTGTCATTATTTTCTTGTCATATTGTCAGTATTTTTATGTCTGGGTTTTATCTGAGGCTGGAAGTTTTGCTGGTTTGAAATTTTGCATTATGATTGGCCGGTTGGCTGGCTGGCTGGCCAATTGGCAGGCTGATTACTGGCTGGCTGGCTTGCTTGCAGGCTGTGACTGGCTGGCTGGTTGGGGAAAAAGCTGATTTGATAGGTAATGATTGGTTGGTTGGCTGGCTGGCCAATTGGCTGGCTGGCTGGCTGGCTGTCTGGCTGGCAGGCTTGCTGTGACTGGCTTGCTGCCGGCTGGGGGAAAGCTGAAACTAGGTAATGATTGGTTGGCTGGCTGGCCGGCCAACTGTCTGGTTTTCTGGCTGGCTGGCTCCCCTATGGTTGGCTGGCTGGCTGGCTGGCTGGCTGATGAGTTGTTTGTTATAATAAGCTGGTTGGGTGGCTTGTGTGCTGGCTGGCAGGCTGGTCACCTGAAGGCTTCCCTGCAGGCTAACTGGCGGCTTGCTGGCTACTAGACTGGCTTGCTCTGTTCCTGTTGGAGTGGTGGCTGCCTCTGGATGACTCTGGCTGGCCGATTTAGGTGGCTGGCAGTGATTGTTACCGAGGGGGATGCCCCCCCCCCTCAACCAACTCAGAACTTGTGAGTCTTTATTATGGTCCCCCCCCCCCCCGAAAAAAAGACACCTTAAAGGGAATATACATCATTTGCTTTTGCTGTAATTTTCAGAAATGGATGGAATTGGGGGGTTGGAAATATAAAGCAAATATAGCAGCACTGACTTTTTGGAGGTTTTGGGTTCGAAAATGCTATAAAAACCAAGAAAAACGATCATTTTCCTGTAGTCTGGTTCCCTGACTCCATATCAGAAGAAACAGAGCAGTTTACATACATTGGGGAATTGTAAGGTCAGGGAACCAGTCTAGCTGGCTCGTACCCGTTCATAGGTTTGTAATCGATTGCAAACAAGTGCAATGGTCAATTGGGGCCAGTATTTGAAAAAAAGCCAGTTGTTTCCAACGCTGATCGGCCGATCAGCGTTGGAAATTGATACAAAAATACCACTTTTCTTGAAAATGACAGTATACCAGGTGCCATAATTTTACAGGATGCTTTAGACTGTCATTTACCAACATCCTATTAAGGTATTTCGCAAAAACTTGGTAGTTTTATTTTTCGATGTTTGCAAATGTTGTATATTCCCTTTAAATGCATCTTCACACAAAATATACCCAAGTGATGCCACTTTTGGCCAATAGCTTGCTTTCCTTCCTGAATATTTAGTCTTGAGGACAGCAACAATCAACATTCATATGTTTGCCATAACAGCACAGCAAAAACAGAATACAAGACTACTCTGAGGGTATTTTAATTTGGAAGGGGTGGGGGTTGCCTGTGGGGTGGAGGTTGGATTAGGGACTAGATGGCCGATTTTGAAGGGGGGGGGGGCCGGACGGCGATCACAGATCGATTCAGAATGTTCATTAAAATTGTGATTTTCAGCAGCCCGTGCATTCTTTAATGACTCGATCAGGTGCAGCCTCGGCCCTGTTTTTTTTTTTTTAAGTGTAAACTTGTGAGTGGGGGTTCAATGTTTATTGCAGGGAGGCCGGCCGGGCACTGACTAACGAACTCCCCCCCCCTTTAAAATGTAAGTTTTTGTCTCCTCTACAGGGCTAGGGAAGGCACCCCCACCCCTTCCCAGCCCACACCTAAATGGAGAGGATGATAGGCGGGGCACCCCCCCCCCCCCATGTATATTTTCCCCTTTTATTTTACGTCTTTATATTCATGCAAAATGTTTACTATCCAGCTTCACTGGGACCACGGAAGGAAAAAAAAAAGACACGACAACCACATGGCTACGCATATAACGAGGGCGCTCGTTCACTGGTCTAATTCGATGTGATACGTTTACGTACATTACTATACGTGGCCGTACGACGTGCAGTGCGTCGTCTTGTAATGCACCTGCGAACTGCATGCTGCATGCATGCGATATATGCACTGAACCGATTACCAAAATGGCGACAGGCGGTGGATCTATACCTTTCAATAAACGTTCGAAAACTAGCCCACTCGAGCCATCTTGTTCGTCAGAAAAGGTAAGTAGGCTTCTTTGATCATTAAGGACACATGAGAAACGTGCGATGACACGGTTTGGGGATGTATTGGTATGACTATTGTAAATGTTTGAAGATGAGGACATGGATGGAGTGATCGTGTGTTGTTGCGAGTGATGATTGTGTGAAATGACCCGGAAATTCTTTACGCAATAATGATACTTAGTGCATGTGGTAGCGGAGTACTACTGCGGTACGTTTGAGCCTTGCCCTTGAGGCGCGTGTTATGTTGAACCATGGAGGAAGGAACAGAGATGAAACTATCGCAAAATTCTTTGTGGAACTTTCAAAGTTAATGCATCTTTTGTTTACTTCCACTGGAACTTAAACAAAAGATGCATTGTTGCCTTTTTGGTAGCCCCATAATGTGGCCTATTTACTTGACTGCCTCCGTAAACATAGGCCACACATCCACATGTACAAAAATCGTGTCGACTTTGCCAAATTTTGATTTTCACATTTATGATTTAGGCTTAGGCCTAAAAAAAAAAAGAGTTATGTTGGCGTAACCCGACCGACCCTAAAAATGCGGCCGACCCTGGATATTTTTTTTTTTGAAGGGAAGAAATATAATTAAAATCTATAGAAATGAATTTTAAATGCGTTTTGAAACCATTTCTGACCGTTTCTCCTCAATTGTATGATGATAGCGCGCGTGGAACTTTGGAGTGCACAATGTTTTGCACCTTCCTCTCCATGACACAACGAACATGCAGAAGATCGCTCAGGCCGCGCCAACAGGCAGTGCGCGTGCGGAGATCGATGCACCATGCATGCATGATAGATGCACATGTACATGTACAGTACATGTACAGTACATGTATAGCCTCGTCCTAGACTGTTGCACGGCGCGAACTGCTACATACACTATTGAAAATACTTCGCTATTTATTCCATGTTAAAAAAAATAGTTCATTATAATATAAATTATTTTAATTAATTTCCCACTATTTTACACGATAACAATTGATATATATTTATTCTAAAATTGGTAACTATTCTTAACCCCGGCGGCCGAGGCGACCCGCCGGCCGGCCCCCGGCGCGCCGGCCCGTGGTGGTACGCGCGTACCGTACGCCGTCGCATCATGGCGCCCGGTACCGAAGCGTACAGTCATGACAGTGTTTCCATCAAGGGCAAATGGGGATCTTCGGTCATTTTTGACCGTTTAATCGTGGAGGTAGAATTAGTTTAATGCGGATAAATTTGAGTCTAGAGCTGGGGGTAATCGCCCAGAGCTGTGCCGATGGTGTAAAAGCGGGTTACACCGTGCTAAAAATACAAACTTCAAAGGAAGAATCGGGTCCATATAAAGATGTCGATGCAGATGAAACGGCTAACATTTTGTCTGATTTTGGATTCCGCTTTTTGATATGTACCTTTGGAAAGGTTGATGATGAGATTAAAAGTATACAAATATTGTGTGTAGCCTTGTTTTCTTTTGTTATCGTGTACTACTACCGGCTTAATGTCATTTTCGTTGCTGGGATTTTAAAAAAAAAAAACAAAACAAAACAAAACACGAACCTACCTACCCTATTTTTTTTGGCCCGTTACACCAACATAACTTTTTTTTTTTTAGGCCTTAGTTTGTAGGATTTTTTTGCTTTAGAAGCATACTCACCCTCTTTATAGGCTAGTCAGAAAGTGCTGCCTTTTTCAGATGTCTAATTTTTGTGAAATTTCATGTTGAAATTTTGATACGCAAACGTGTAAAAATGAATCTGGAAATTTCACGAAAAATATACATCTGAAAAAGGCAGCACTTTCTGATTAGCCTATAAAGAGGGTGAGTATGCTTCTAAAGCAAAAAAAACCCTACAAACTAAGCCTAAATGTGAAAATCAAAATTTGGCAAAGTCGACACGATTTTTGTACATGTGGATGTGTGGCCTATGTTTACGGAGGCAGTCCAGTAAATAGGCCACATTATGGGGCTACCTTTTTTGGGGGAAAAATGTAGTGCTTGGCCTAATCCTGATGCCAAATGTGTACAAAGTTTATAATGAGTCCGAAATTGTTTTGTTTTTTGCACACATTTGTAAGCATTTCTCAGTCCAAATTTCTTTTATTCACTGAACATTGCTATATTTATGGAAACCAACCATTACATGCATGCGTAAGTTGTTCCCCGAAGTTATGTCCATTTAAAAAACCTTTTGAGTTGTGGATCACAAAGAGAAATTTAATCTAATTGATTGAGGTGTTGTTCAATAGCAAAAACAAATTTGTGTAACTTTTAACATGCGTACATCATGTCCTCAGTTAAACTCAAAGGGTCCATGAAATTATTTGTCTTTGGAACCTATTTTGTGCAACTTTCTACTTTTCTTAAATGTATAAAAACTATTTGACATCTCTTTCTGGTTGAAAAGTGCCCTTCTTTAAACATTTAAAATTGTCGGTGCTTTTTCGGACCGCTGAGGGCGCCGTTGCTGTGATGTCATTTCAGGAAGACACTTTTCAGTTGAGGGTTTTCTGTTCAAATTGTGAACCCAAAAATTTGCTCTTTGAAAACATCTATGTGAAAAGTTTGCTCATTGGCTTACTGCGGCCATGTACTAACGTACATGTATCAACGAATCACCACAGAAAAGAAAATTTACGACAGCAAAATATCCAAAATACTGGCAACCTGTGGTGCTCAAATAATTCTAACATTGAGGTTTCTGCCTGAAATGACATCACGTTTTTGCTCGTGAATATGGAAATTTTCATGAGCATAAAAAAAACAAAAAGGCACGAAAATCCCCTTGAAAAGGGCAAATCAAAGGTTAAAGGGAGCACAATGGTGCAATTTTCAAGGATTGCATTAACCCTAACTCCCTAAGGTGATTTACTAGGAACCTTCCTCATCCTTGCAAATCCCAACACCATATGGTAAACTGTGCACATGAACAGTTGGACTCTGATTATTGGTGGTATGCCTAACCCCATGTAAAGCACAATCGGTTTACTAGTGCAGTACTCTTCCTAACAGATCCCAACAAATCCTGATGTTGGAGTTTGGCTGGTTGGGGATGGTTTTACAAATTGCATGGGCCCTCTAGAGGGACCTTTCATCTAGAATGTGCCAATTTGGGCAGTAAAACAGTAAAAAAAAAAAACACCTGTCTCCCTGAAATGATAATTATAGTTGGACATATGTTGGAAAGATATGTACAGGACACATATATCGCATCACACACAGGGTTTTTCAACATTTTCTCTTTACGTTACAAAGACACATAATTTTCTATGACCTTGACTTTTGAAAACTGGCTGTAAACAATTCAAAGCTTACAAGTTTGGCAAACTTTCAATGAAAGCACACCTTGAAATTTAGGTCAGTTTTATGTTTAAGCAGTTTTTGTGTATACTTTGTAAATCCACCCTAAGGCCGAGTAAAAAAAAGTAAGTAGTTTCTCGTCTGTCCATTTTGAAAAAATGAAGGAGGCAGGTTTTGTTTTTTGTTGCTTTTTTTCTTTTACCCAAGATGGTAGCTTTTTCAAGATGGCGGATGGATGTTTCAATTTTCTCGACTATTTTGCTAATACACAATGTGTCCAAAGCAGACATGATCCTTTCTTCATGTAGCTACAATTTGTTGGAAACAAATAAAAAGACAATATTTATTGACAATATGCATGCAACATATTGCAAATGTAGGAATTTAAAAAAATATAAAATAAAGGAGGCGAAAAAAAGAACGGACAGGGATGAGAAACTGGTTATTTGTTTACCCGGCCTAATGTACACAGAAGAACAACATGTTCGTCAAACTAGAATTCAGCAGTAATCCCACAAGCCAGAGAGCATCATTTCAGTTTGATACCAGTAGTCAATCAATATGATGCTTGCCTGCATGTACATTGTATTCTGGCCCATCCGATGCATGGCCACAGTTTTATCTTATGTGTCAAGCACTGGACAAAAGAAAAGGCGGGTCAAGTTACTGAACCTGAACCTGAAATATACTCTTAAATTGGGTCTCTACCAGTTTGTCCCAGTTGGAATGCTTGTATATTGTGCAGCAAACGTTGTGTGTACATTTGTTTTGTACAACAGGGACTGTTGTTTCTATGATGGTTAATTTTAGGAAGTGAAGAAGATGTATCACATTTTCTCTTAAGCCCTAAGGCTACTGCCTATTTTGCACAATTAAGGCCAAAAAAAAAAAAGTCTCCGGTTTCTGGTATGTGCGCGCGTCGCCGTAGCCATGCGCGTCGGCAAAATGAAAAAGTTTTTTTTCAATAAAAGATGATGTCTCAAAACCGCCAAACTCACTGGTTTGACTGGAATCCTGCTGCTGCACAATTTTAACGTGTTTTTAGATGGGGTTTTGATCGAGAATAAGCTTTATGTGGCCTCTCTGGCCCCCGATATATTTGCACTAAGTTTAGTCGGGCACCACTTGCAGTCATCAGCCGACATTTGAAGCAAAAAAAACAGGTAAAAAAAAAAAAAGCCGCGTCGCCGCACCACTTTTTGGGCAAGCTCCATACCAGAAACCGGAGACTTTTTTTGGGGGGGGGGGGCCTAAAATGGCTCTGCACCAATTAAAGTTGTATTCCCTGTACTATCTTCAAGTTTCATCTCAAAAAAATTGATTCCTTTTCTAATTGCTATTTGTCTAGCAATACCAAAGTTATTCACTTTTGAATGAGACATCGACCAAAAAATTCAGCCCATGCAAAGCGGATCTGTTTGAGCCCAAAACAAAAACATTGTTTTTCAGAGTGTTGTACACAGACATCAAAAAAGGAAAAAGACATAATTGTGGGATGGATTAGAACTTGCAAATTGAAAATGTATTAACCCTAATCCCATAAGAGTTCATTTGGGGTAAAGTACCACATACATGTACTTCTAGTACTACAAAAATTGTGTATGCAGAAAGCCAGTGCTGTGCCCACTTACAGGCTGAAGTACTGCACACTACAGTTTACTACTAGTATTTTGTAGCTTTAGATGAGGTTAGGGTTAATAGAAAAAAATGAATT